CTTTAGGTCTATGTTTCCAAATTCTTTAGGTTCGTGAACAATGAAATACAAATGTTGGTTTTCTTTGTAAGACAGAGGAAAGACATCTCTTGAGACAAAGGCCTAGCAAAATCCTGTTGGGAGTCCTGTAATGCTAGCTGTTTGGAAAGCTACAGAAATAGGAGAGAAAAAGACTATGATTTATTTATGAAATTAATTGTATAAATGGGTTTTAAATTTTCTGAACCCACAATTTTATTTTTCTCACAACAGTCCCCTGTTAACAAAAGGCCGCCCTGGGGATCATGGGACCCATATGGACGAAAAGCCACAAGGTCTGGAGATTCAGTGAGGAAGGAAACAGAATAAGTTTGAGGGGGGAAAACTGGTAGATTCTGACCTCTTTTGCTGACAAGAGAGTATCTAAGTCACAGTGGAGTGACTTTACACACCAGTGTGCGACGTATAAGAGTCAGTGTTGTGTAGCATTTAAGAGAGTCAGGCTAGGACCCTGGTCCAATTCCCCAGTGCTCCATGAAGCTCACAAACTAACTTTGTGCCAGTCACACATACACTCAGGGCCAAACTAGATGAGACGCCAGCCCTAGGTCCATCCTGGGGACAGCCTCCATTTTGTAGAGTCAGGGAATGCATTTTAGGGGCACTGCAGGGCCCTCCATTCTGGTTGGAACCACCACAGGATGAGGAGACACTTCTACATCCCCTTCCCCCCCACCCCCCCGGGCCATTTTTCTGACCCAAATGGCACCAGATGGGGCTTATTAGCAAATAATGCCGCCTGGTGCCATTTTGGGTTGGAAAAATGGAATAGGAGAAGGAGCCCATCCTCCCCCCACCTCTGGTGGTCCCAACCAGGATTGGACTCCTACAGCATTCCCCAGCAACAAAATGGAGGCATATCCCGGGAACAGCATCTCATCTAGTCTGACCCTGAGCCTAGTTTTGCTGACGGGATTGTTTTGAGGATATAGTGAGGGAGTAAAGGAGGTGTGTGACAAAAATGTGATAGGTAAATAAATAATGTGTACTCGGGTCATTTCGTAGAAAAAGAGCTAGGGGGACTCATTAGCATAACTCATAGCATATGCCCCCAGCAACAAAATGGAGGCATATCCCAGGAACAGCATCTCATCTAGCGTGACCCTCAGCCTACCTTTGTTGAAGGGATTGTTGTGAGGGTATAGTGAGGGAGTAAAGGAGGTGTGTGACAAAAATTGTGATAGGTAAATAAATAATGTGTACTGAAACAGAGCTGTAAATAATCATCCTAACCATTTTGAGGTCTGTCCTTCTCGGCTGAACTGTTGAGCGGAGCGAATACATTTTAACAAGTTTTTTTTATTGATCTGACAGGTTCTAGAAGGAAAGCCCATTTATGTGGATTGCTATGGGAATCTGGCCCCTCTGACAAAAGGAGGACAGCAGCTTGTATTTAATTTTTATGCTTTCAAAGAAAACAGACTGCCATTTTCTATCAAGGTAAAAGTAAAGCTGCCAGAGAAGTGACACTGAGAAAATGTCGTCTCCTTGTGATGATGTGAATTTTTTTTTAAATAAAATCTGTATTAATTTGGTGTGCTTGGGAAAAGGTGTGTACGCATGAAACACCAGCCAACTTACAGTGTTGCAAGAAAACTTCGTCCCTGTTAACAGGAACCTTCACCCAACAGATTGAGAGTGGCAGGGAGGATCCGAATCGAGAAACTCAAGGAAAGCAGGACAATGGCTATAAGGGTCTAGAAGGAGGTTCCAGAGGAAATATATCAGTGGAATTATTCACTGGTGTGAAAAAAAACTTTGCAAGGCCCCAGTTTATATGTGAGAAAACCTGCTGCCTTCTGAAATGTTGACTGTTATTGCTGCTGATTATTTCAATCAGGTGTCAGTACACAAAGCCCTGTGAGCTCAGGTGGTTTTAAAAAATCCATAGACGTGCAGGACAGATACTGCATTGATGTGCATGCCAGGGCCTGTGTTGTATTTTCAAAGGTCCCCTCCAAGAAAGGGCCTTACCTAGATGGCCCTGGCTAGCCAATAGATCTCAGAAACTAAGCAGGATCAGCCCTGGTTACGACATGGATGGGGGACCACCAAGAAAGTGCAGGATCACTATATAGAGGCAGCCAACGTGTGTTCATGGTTTTAAAACGTGGTATTATTATGTAAGTTTTGATTTGTTAGCCACCGTGGCAGGATATCAATTAATAATAATAATAGTAGTAGTAATAATAATAATAATACAGTAATAATGATAATGATTACATTCAATGTGTGTACAGCTAAACCTGTGATACAAACTCCACCTTTATCTGGGTATTGGTCCCTGGTTTCAGTTGCAAAGTAAATGCATTTTGGTTCTTTTCTCACAAGCAGATGTACGCATGTGTGATGGACAGATTAGGTTCCGCCTTTCCCTAAGAGCGACCAATGGGAGCTGAAGGAATGTTGGTGGGAGGGACAGTTGAAAAACAGCCGTTCAGTTGAGCGAGGGCTTCTGTCTGGTTGGAGCGTCTAGAAGAGGAGATGAACGCTGACTGGGAAAAGAACAACTTGTGACAGAGAATTCCAAATGCGTAAACGGGGAAATCGTTCAGAATTACAACTGAAAAGAAACGTTGTAACCAGAGTTCCCTCTAAGCTGAGTTAGTGTGAGCTAGCTCACAGTTTTTTAGCCTCCAGCTCACACATTTCTGTCTTAGCTCAGGAAAGATGGCTCCAGAGCAAACTAATTTACGCAGTAGCCAAATCGCTCGCTCACAACTTTAATGCCAGTAGCTCACAGTGTAGAATTTTTGCCCACAAGACTCCACAGCTTAGAGGGAGCACTGGTTGTAACCACTACCTTTGCTCTAATTTTATGTTCAAACCATAAATAAAAGTTTACTCCCTGTCTGTTTAACCCTGTGGGTTGGATATGTACGCTGTCAGGGAAAGAAGCACACAAAGACAGGCTAAGGTCTTGGCCTATATATAAATATATATTGGTGATGGAAATGGCCATCAAGTCACTTATGGCTACCCTGCAGGTTTCCCGCCATTGCCTGCTTCCACATCACAGCCCTGGTATCCCTTGGAAGTCTCCCATCCAAATAGTAGGCAGGGCTGACCCTGCTTAGCTTCCAAGATCTGATGAGATCGAGCTACCCTGGATTGTATCTTAGGATGTGACTAAATGGTGGCAGCGTGTGAATGAAGCAGTGTTGGGAGTCCCCAGCCTCGATAACTCCATTCCATGGAGTGTCTGAATGAGGGGTGACTATTAAAGGAGACTGGGCTATCCTGTCTGGTGATGTCTCTGTGAGTGACAGAGAGGACCCAGAATGTGAAACAGTCATGGCTCTCTGTATGTTTTAAAAGAGGCAAGACAAAATGGCGAAAGGTGACTTACCTGACGTACCTGTGACCCTGAACCTGTGTGAAAGACAGTGTGGAAGATGGTAGGAACCAGGGGTCATTTCGTAGAAAAGGAGGTGCAGGAGCTCATTAGCATAACATTAGCATGTGCCACACCCCCTGGCATCACCGGCAGTGTGTCAGAAGGCAAAACCCACCGCTCACACTCTACTGGACTGTTTTGGATTGCTAGCTATGGGGGGGGGGAATGTGCAGAGGAGGGAAAACTTGTACCTGAAAGCGGGCCGGAAGGGGGCTCTGCAATTTACCTGGCTGCTTCTTGCTCCTCATGGCCCAACTGAGGGCTGCTGGGAGCAGGGGGTGGGGCTTGTTGCATGTGCCCGCCCCCTGAGCTCCTTACTGCCGGAGCTCTGCTCCTGCAGGAAATGACCCCGGTAGGAACTCTGAGTTAGTGAAAAAGGGTGTTACAGTATATACATGCAGGACATACATGCGTTCACTGTAACATGTGAACAGGGCTACTCTTAAAGCCAGTTGCATGATATGCCCAGTTCTGTAGGTCCACGGTTTGTTTAGAGCCCCCTAGCATTTTCTCCCCTTCTCCTACCTCCTCTCAGCAGCCCAGATCTTTTTAAATCCTTGTTCATGACATCCCATAAACTGCAGCTTATCTCTAAAGTGTAATCTGTCGATGGATGAGGAGCGTTGTTTGGGGAAACTCTTTCTGGGCAAAGTATTTGAACGGGCAGTCTTCATACATTTTCCCATCTCCCTTTTGGGTTTATTTTTGAAAAGTCAGAGACAGAAGCTGAATTAGATGTAATGTGTAAAACACACGCACCCCAAAAAACCTAAAACCAACATGAGGACATTTACTTATTTATAGATTAGAGACACCAGCCAAGAACCTTGTGGTCGCTTATCCTTTTTGAAAGAACCAAAGACTACAAAAGGTCTACCACAAACAGCCGTTTGCAACTTAAACATCACTCTGCCAGCACACAAAAAGGTATGGCTTCCAAGATTTGTTTGATTTCAGTTGATTAGTCTTTTTTTTGGGGGGGGGGGAGGTATTTTGGTTTTTGAATTTTTGTTTTGTTTTGCTGATTAGAATGAAACACTAGAAATGGGAATGCCTTACAGTCTGATTAAGCTTGTTTTATGTCTGTTTTCACGTACGCAGAAAGCTTTTGAAATTTATTGTTAACTGTGCTGTTCAGTTTCTATTATGTACTTTTTTTACGGATGGGGTTCCTCTGTTTGCAGCTCATGCTTCAGCTTGCGGTTCATAGATATTTTATGCTTTTAGTAATGTCACGTGTTGATTTGCATTCAGTGTATTTTCTGTTGACATTTTGGATTTGCTTTGCCTTATAAATTAGCTTTGCTTTTTTTGTGCACCCTTACTTGGTCCTTTTCATATCCTGATATTCTTTTCCCTGCTGCCCATTATAATACTCCTTGTCTCTGCAATGCATCTTGGGACCAAAAGGAAACAGAGTCAGATCAAGATGATGAGGTAATACAAACACTGTCTTTTTATCGTTATATCCGAATTTGTACCAATGAAAGAAATACATATATGGTATCTCTAAAATATGATTGCAAAACTCTCAGATTATATGTATTTTATATGCTTTGTTGTTGAATACCAACACAGCAGACCATCAGATGAAGGTTAAGGTCACATGTTGTGCTTGGGACAATATGGACACGATGCTTCCCCTTCTCCGTGTTGAATCCTATGACACTCTTCATCAAGTCTTCCTCCAACAGAAAAAGACCTCCTTCAACACAGAAGGACATTCCTTGTTCAGAGGAAGCCTTCCTCCAGCAGAAAATGCTATTCTCCATCAGAAAAAGCCCTTGTCCATGAATCTTTTTCTCTTGAAGGAAGACTTAGCCAGAAGAAGAAGACGAAAAGGAGATTGGATTTATACCCCGCCCTTCACTATCCAAGGGAGTCTCAGAGCGGCTTATAAACTCCTTTCCCTTCCCCTGCCCACAACAGACACCCTGTGAGGTAGGTGGGGCTGAGAGAGCTCTGACAGAAACTGCTCTTTTTCAAGAACAGCTCTTATCAGAACTACGGCTTGCCCAAGGAGCAGGTGCAAGTGTAGGAGTGGGGACTGAAACCCGGTTCTCCCAGATTAGAGTCCCCGCACTTAACCACTACACCAAACTGTGTCATAGGGTCCAGCTTACCAGAAGACGTAGGATCCAACCCTGCGTGTGCAGCTTGTATGAAACTGCACCCCTGGGAGGGATCCCTAACCCTTTCCCTATCCCTTTCCCTGTCTCCCACCAGCCTTCAGTCAAATGTGCTATCCGTTAGCTAAGCACACAGCTCTAATGTGCTTTGCTCTTTCCAGTCAAGGGTTGTCCTTTCACACCATGCATTGGGAGAGTCCTCACCAACACAGAGAGTACAGCTCTTGGCGAGAGGAGCTTCCAGTCAGAGGCCTGGGGAGGAGGCTGTATACCTCTGTGTGGAGTGAGGACGAGACTCCCTTCCAAGCTGTGTGAGATCGGGAATGTTGTACACCTAACCGAGGCCCCACAGAGGACGGGCTCAATAGAATGACTGTGGAAATGCCCCCCTGGTTTGTGATGCTCTGCAAGATAGATCAGGGTACTATAGGAAATGAATGGAGCTGAAGACTATGGAAAATATCCCTGATACCATCTGGCCCACACTTGTTAGTCTTGTGATTTCTGGCCAGAACCTAACCAACATGTAATCACTATTTTCTCATACTAAATCAAGCATTAATTCGTTTCACCTTTTGGATTTAGGTTTTCCAACTGCCTGGAGAAACAAAACATCTTGCCCCTTTGATGTTATTCACCAGTTGATGTTATTTACCTCCACACAAAGCTTTGCTGCCCATTTCCACACATTGGGCCTCTTTTAAGGAGACAGAACATGTTTCCTCCAGGCATGTTGACAACCCTAGTTGGATTCAGATGTGCTCTTTTGCATGCCAGGGGATGCTTTCTGCTCTCAGAGGGTCTATCTTACACTCAGAGTAGAGCTCTGCATACAAAAAGTGAAGCTAGATCCCCCCTATCTAGCAAGAACTTGCGAAAGCTCTTGTAAAAGAATGAGAATTTCTTGGAACCTGAATAGTATAGCACTGCACAAACTATTGTACAAACTCTTGCACAGGTGTATGTGGAACAAAACTAGCCGCTGTCCTTCTGTTCACAGTTATTTGGATCCGACCTTATAAATGTTACCCACCGAAATTGCTCTTTAGTAACATGTGCAGTGAGCAAACCACACTGCACTGAGGTGTCCCTCCCCTGCACCCCCAAACCAACACAAACTGTCAAGATCTAGGAAATCACTGGGTCAGGATATTGCACAGCCTTGCAGCAATCACCAAGGCTATTGCACAGTCAAAGCTCCTGGCCAGAAGTTGCAAGCCTATTGCACGCTAACAGTGTGTGTGGAGGGGTGAATCAGCACAGTGGTGTTTATGGATGGTGCCCACTGCCTACGATATGTTTGTGGCTGATTTGTTCACTATGGCAATAGTGTGAAAACAAATTAAGGCATGATTCGGAATGTTTTGAGTCCTGGTGAGGAGAGTTAAGAATGTGCTCAGCTCTCCCACTCAAATCCAATTCAATCTGCTTACATTTGGCAGGTTTCTACCCGTAGATGTACAGCAGCCCAATACATGATACGAGTCTTCTAATTTCAATAAATTTCAAACTGTAATATTTTAAAATGTATTGGAGTTATAAAATGACTCAGAATATTTTCATTCTACACTGAAGGTATAACTTAAAAGCATATCTTTCTGTAGAAGGCCTTTAATAAGCCGGGCTACAAAATATCTTAACAATGCAAGTTGTTACCACTTAGCAATTGCTTTCTAATCTGCATCTCTGCATTTGTGCATATTAAAAAAGAAACCCTTCCGTGCCCCCCTTTTTTTTGTCCTTTATGTATTCCCTTTAATGTAGGTGTACCTTGTGATTTTATGTGCTTTCATGGCAAGTTAATTTTGGGAGAAATATTTGGCCTCAGTTCTAGCCCTATCGATGTTCTACGTGTGTTCACTGTAGCCTTGTTGTGTGGATGCTCTCATTTGTTAACGGAAATGATTGCTCTAATGATAATGTAGCGATATGGCTGAGATGGATAAACTAAGGGACAGTCTCCTAACAATCCCGCATAGCAGAAATATGTACCTCTATCGTGTCCATTGAGATAGGACATCTAGCCAAGTCCTGTAGTGGTGAGACTGGTTTTGGTGTTACACTTTACTGACAATATCTGTGTCTTCAAAATACGCGTCAGTGTCACTTAAGAATGGATATATCTATGTCTATTTTATGACCATGGACCCTGTTCAGAGGTTGATATGCCCCAGGATTCTACCCGGAATGAGATCGGGGTGGGCCCCTGTGAACCCTCCCCACATCTCCATAACTCCCCTCGTCACTGGTAGAAGGTAATATGAACTGAAGGACTCTTGTTTTGCTTGAGCACAAGACACATCTGACCTTGTGATACAGAACCTGCTGTCTCATGGGGCCAGGTAGATGGAGCAGAGGTCCATCAGTGGCTATTAGCCACAAGGTATGGATAGGAACTCTGGGGCAAGTGATGCTCTGTCATCTTGGTGCTTGGGGGGGTCAACAGTGGGAGGGCTTCTAATGTCCTGGCCCCACTGGTGGACCTCCTGATGGCACTGGTATTTCTGGCCACTGTGTGATACAGAGTGTTGGACTGGATGGGCCTTTGGCCTGATCCAACATTGGCATCTCTTATGTTCTTATGTTCTTATGTTCTTATCCCACATCCAAATTAGCATGCAACTCCCATAGTTCTACCTGGACTCAGTCCATTCCCAGCCTCATTCTAGGTCAAATCCTGAGGGGAAAGTAGCATCCGATGAGGTGCTAACGCACATCTTACAACTTATCATTTTCTTCCTCCTCAAGCATACCCTTATAATGAAACAGACACCTTTATATCCATTCTTCCCTGGCAACGTGGATCTTAAGGTACATGTTTTAAATAGGTGCCAGTAGAGTGCAACCTCAGAAGTGGCCACAAGTAGCTGAGAAATGTTGGAGGGAAGATTTGAGCTCACGAGGGAAGGTGGAATGACCGAAACAAAATTAAAACATGTTTTCTTTGGACTGTAACTTACATCCAGACTAGAGATAAATGCATTGTTCAGCCTCGGGTCAGTCTAGTTTTTCAGACTAGCCTATCGTGCTTAGGGTGTTTTTTAAAAAAAAAAAATCAGTGATCCCTCTGAGCTGCAGAGTCTTGTGAGCAAAAATTCTACTTTGTGAGAAAAAATGTGTGAGCCAGAGGCTAAAAAACTGTGAGCTAGCTCACACTAACTCAGCTTAGAGGGAACACTGTATAGCCCATTTTACTTGAAATGTGTACCATTCGACGTATAGCTCACTGTGTTCACAAGATCTAAGGTGTGATGGGGAGGATGGGTATTTTATTACCATTGTGAACGCCAGTATCTTTCTGCTGGGGATGTGCATTCAGAGGTTTTGAACTGGAGGCAGTGTCCAAAGTTCCCTGTTTAGTTTCGGAACAGATATCTCCAACCTAAAAGCAAACAGGAAATTTCAGGCATCGTTTCGGATCTGAAATATCTGGAAGTACACTCCTACTCTGAACAGTATTTGGGGAAGTACAGGATGCACATAGAACAAAACAGCTTGCTGTAGATGGTAACCGTGCCACCGAAGGTACCAACAAGAAATATGTTTTGTTACAGACGGAGAAAACAGACCGGCGCCAGAACTTCGTCTCCCTTGCTTTACGTAAGCGCTACAGCTATCTGACTGAACCTGGAATGAGTGAGTTTCTTAACAAATCTACTAATACTGTAAAACAGTTTTTTCACAAGAAGAGACATTTTTTCTATAAATGTTGTATTTTGGTGTCGTTTGGAGAAGGAAAAATAATCCTGATTCAGTAGGCCAAATTCTCCAATTATCCATGAGCTCTTTTTGAGCACGGACCACCTGGGAAATCCAGGCACGGGAAACGGAGAGAGAACTGCCACTTCGGCTTCAGTTTCTAATACAGCCATCCTTACTACCCAACGTGGAGTTCTGCCAGAGGTGCCACCTTTTAAAAGTCCTTATTCAACTTTATTTGGAATTCTTTCATATATGAAGTCAGCTTATAGGTTACATTTAAGGTGTGTGTGGGAGGGGGTCATCTTTTTCATTCACAAGAGGTATTTGTTCCTTCATCAATCGAGCCAGTAGCTCACAGATTTTCCCTGGGCACTTATAATATGCAGCAGTTGGCTCAAGATCACGTGCTCTCAAATGTGCCCTGGAGATCACTAAAGCAGCTGCAGCTCTAGATCAAAGTATCTCAGCTCTGTGAGTTGCTGATGCACCCTGTTCTGTTGTTCATATTATAGAAGAAGAGAAGAGATTGGATTTATACCCCGCCCTTCACTTGGAGTCTCAGAGCGGCTTACAAACTCCTTTCCCTTCCCCTCCCCACAACAGACACCCTGTGAGGTGGGTGGGGCTGAGAGAGCTCTTGACAGAAACGGCTCTTTTTCAAGGACAGCTCTTATCAGAACCAGGGCTTGCCCAAGGTCGTCCACCCAGGTGCAAGTGGAGGAGTGGGGAATCAAACCCGGTTCTCCCAGATTAGAGTCCGCGCACTTAACCACTACCCCAAACTGGCTCTCTAGGCCGTGGAGGGTCTTCTGGGGAAGAAACAACAACATGGAGACTTGAGGATAGGAACAGTTCTTACAATGGTGGAGCAACAGGGTTGGTTTTCTCCAGTGGTAACCTCTCTGCTGCTGTTGTAGCATTAGAACAGGGAGCTCAAGTGGATGTCATTGAAAGGTATGATTCAATTGCTAGTGACTGCCCGTTTATTCAAGGGCTCTTCTAAGCCTTGACAAATTGAGGGATTCCCAGCCAATGTTACCCTGTTGCCCAAGGGTGGTGGCAGGTATTTCCCATGCCTGCCTTCAAAGAAAGTCAACTACTTCCTTAGCCATATTGGTCCGCTTCTCCCACGTGATCTCCATGTTTGAAAAGGCAATGAGACACACCCACAAGCAAGTGGCACACATCCTGTGGCTGTAACATAAGACAGGGCCTTTAGTTGTCAAGAGAATACTAGGTTGGCCTTCACATTCCCAGGTTGGTGGGGGTGGTGGGGAGATAGGGCAACGCTATGATGTTATCTCAGATCTTCATATCTGACAGATCTGGTTTCCATCTATTATTATTATCATTTGATGTTTTAATGTGGATTGATTTGGTGGTATTTTAGCCAAGTGTTTATTTTAGAGTATTGAACAATAAAAACAACTCTTAGAAATTTGCACACAGCGGGTGGGAGGGGAAAGCTGGTGATATTCCTCTAGATACACAAAAGTCTGTTATTGGGCTGTTTCTTGGCTCCTAATCTAGTAAAGGCAAATATTTTTCACTGCCTGGAAAATTCATAGTTAAGCTGCTTGCTGGATTTGTCCCCTCATCAGAGCTTAACGACAGGATTCACACTCAACACTCCAGTGGCATTTATATGTACAAAAAATGTGTTGAGGTGTGACCTGCTCCAACGTCTTTAGCATTATTGTTTTTTCCATCTTTGAAACTGAAATGACAGGATTTCTGGGTGGCTCTTGGCAGTTGATTCTGATAAATCACTGTGACAGAATTGAGTGATTGGTTCAGTGGCGCATTAACAGCCCGTTCACAAGTTGATGAGCTAATCGTGACCATTTTTTTTCCTTCCCATTGGCAGTCATTTGTTGAAAGGTCAGGGAGACTCAATGCGTGATGAAACCAGAGGACTGAGCTAATTTGATAATTGCAATCGGCATGAGAATCCACCCTGTTTGCGCAAACCATAGAAGCTTATTTCCAAGAGTGGCTGTTTGCCTGCAGGTGGTTTCAGAATAGTGTTGCATGCAGAGAACAACTTAGGCTGATTCGTGGAGTGTCCATCTCAATCTTTTACATTTTTCCCCACTTTGAACACCTGACTTCTGCACCATGCTGAATCAGAAAGAGCTTTTGATACTCCCCTCGGTTCAAAAGCAGTTCCAAGCAGAAGAAAGCCCCCTTGTGCTTATGGCACTAGTTTCACATCTCTTTGGAGTTTCAGTTGCAATCATGCCTTTCTTTTTGAAAGTAAATCTTATGACAAAGCAAAGAAATCAGACACTAATGTGGAACGGGGGAAAGGGTCTTGTAGAAATACCTCCTCTTAGGTGGAAACATAAGGACAGTTCTTATGGTTCACCAGCAGTATGGTTGCCACTCTCCTGTGGATTCATCCCATGCTTTTTTGGTACTGTTAGAGTGTCACGTGGAAGAAGCCAGTGATGTAGTTACGTCCCATGTGATTATTCTTCCCACTTGAAGCAGGGAGGTAATGACATCTACCCTCCCCGTGTGAGCTAGTAAAGCTACCAAAGCAAAATGGGATGGCAGATCATTAAATGTAAAAACAAAACCCGGCCTGCTCACTTGCACAGAGTTGAATAATACTTCGTTTTATTTTGGCATATTTGTTGATCTTACAGAGGTTGAAATGACTAGGACATGGGATCTAACATTCTTTTATTGCAGTGCAGGAAGCGTCCATCAAGGAGCATAATTCCCCACCCCCCATCGATATATTCATCCAGCATATTTATTACAATAATAATAATAATAACAACTGTCCATTGTACAATGAACAGCTCTTAGAAAAGCTTGTTATGTTCGCATTACTTCATTAGGATAATGCAAGTTGTACGTTGATTCTTTCACAGTGAATTATTGGTCGCCTAAAAACGGACCAAACTGGTTTGAAATATTATCAACATAAACTTCAGACAAAGGTGTGGAGAGAAGGTATTTTAGTTCCAGTTATAACTTCCAAGTGAAGAGCTTGTGCCTTCCAAGTTTTTATTTGTTTGTTTGTTTTAATCATTTACCCATCCGTCATGAAGGAACTCTGCCTGGTTCAAGCAGTAGACTGGTAGCCCTTCCCCCTCCCGCCTTCTGCGCTCTCTGGAGGACGTGTGAACCAGGTTCCATTCACACGGTTTCTCTCTAAGTTGAAAACTGGGGGAGAAATCGTGTTAGTGGAGCTCTGTGTGATCAGCCGTCAGTCGGCGGAAGGGCCAGGCTCACATATTCTTCGAAGCATGTAGTAGAGGAGGGGAGCAACCCACAATTCCATCTTGTGAGGACCACCAGTAATATCAATGTGAACAGAGGCTCTGAATGTCATTCTTGTCATTGAAAGATCCTGATGTTATGGCTCCCCAGACCGTCACATGGCAGCTCCAGCCAGCAGCTTCAAACTATAAGAGTCCCCCACTTGATCTGAGGAGCCTGTGAAAACGGGACATTTTGAGAAGGCCCACCATTTGCAGATTTGTCTTTGCCAGGTTGTCATTGCATTCTGCATTGTTACCTTTTGAGTTCGCCAAAGTTGAATAGGCCTTTCTTTGAATGGCTACGCAAACTGCCCTCAAAAGGTACCAAGACACTACATCTTGTAGAAAAAGTGTACTCTTCTTCTAAAAATGCCTTCTGTGGAAAGATTTTTTTTGAACATTTTGCAGTATTCTGCATAGTACACCATGCAAACTGTTTTATTCCATGTGCTTGTTCTGACATGACAAAACCGTGCATGAAGAAAGTTTAAAAACAAATGTTTTCGGTTGCTTTGCTTGCTCACTTTTTCCCCATTAATTGTATTTCCCATTTTTTTATGTATGACAAATGCTTCTTAAAGTCATTTCATGTGAATTTTTTTGTTTTGAGTTTGACCAAGTTAAAGGAATATCGCATGAAAAAGACAAGAAATGCAAAGAGATTTCTTTTTTTTTCTCCTTTTAATCCTCGAGTCAGAAAAAGTTCTTGCTCTTATTGGCTTTGTGAGTGTGAAGCATATCTGAAATGTGCATGGGAGAGAGAGATTTGGACTTTTTCCCCGTTGCTTCACAGTTTGCACATCTATTGCCTGTCACTTTAAAGATATTTTGGGGTGCTGCATGAAATAGTTTCGAGTGGTTTTCTAAGCAGACTTTAGCTACTTAATATCATTTGCACAAGTTTTCTACTGTTTCGTGTAGGTTTTAACTATACAGCGTATGAACCATTCTGCTAAAGGATAGAATGATAGAAATTTTCGTACCAACAATTGCGAGTAATTGCACAAATCAAAGATATATCAATAACAGGCAAAAAAAAAATGGAGCAGAGATTAAAATTGCAAATCTAGCACATCAGAAAGTCAATAGGAAGTAAGAGAAGAATTTTTCGTTGCAACTATTACTTTGGACCATGATGGACTCCTTCTTAGTGTTTTCTGTTCTTCATATTTTTTTGCAGACTCGGTTGCCTTGAGCTTTTTTCTGTCTTTCATTTCATGTTGCCTATTTTTTTCCTTCTTTCTTTCTCCATTTCGGATCATCCATCAATTATGTGGCTCATTCCTATTTTTTCTCCTGTTTAGCTGTTCATTTTTACCTACTCCATCCTAACTCATACAAACAGTTGTTACTTGCTTTTTTGTAATATTACAACGTTTACTGACTGATTTTTTCCCTTCTCTGGTCTCTCTGTTTTTTCAATCACTTTCGTTGATTTTTTTTTTTTTTTACGTTTGATTTTTCTTTTTTGGTTTAACAATTTAAGAGACCGTTGAACGAAGTGCAGGAGCTGCGAGATCCCTACCTGCCACCTATTCATACAAGCCATTCTTTCCAGCAAGACCATATCAGTCATGGACCACAGCTCCAATCACAGTGCCTGGACAAAGCAAATCTGGCTTCACTTCCTTATCGAGCTCTTCCTCTAACACTCCAACC